TAATCATTAGATATTACAAAGCGTGAAGCAGTGGTTAGTCATCGCCTGTACTGGGTTATGATAAGAAAGAATGGTGAATAAGAGAAGAAAGGAAACAAACGGACGAAATAAGATTCGAGGAACATCAGTTGTTTTTTATGAATATAAGAATTACAAAAAAAAGTTTCATTTTTTTCTGACACTGCTTCCTTCCGGAAATTTTAATCTTTATGAAACACTTTCAGCTAAAGTTCTTGACGCTTGTGGAAAATTTGTTCCTAGGCGTTCGCGTGTGTGCCAGGTTTGGCGGGAAAGGAAACAGACTGCTGGTATTATCAACTGGAATTTCCCATCTAGTCAGTGTGCAAGAAAGCATTTTATTTTATTTCCAGATATCCATCATATTATCCATCATACGGTCCCGCGACGGGATCAACATCATTCTATACCACAGAACTATCGCCGTTTTCGGTAGCTCGCAGTAGTGCAGATTTTCCGAAATCCGCACGAACTGATTCCTCGATCATCAAAGACATCAAACAAGAGCGAGATGTTAAAGAACACAGTAAGATTAGTTAATTCAGCTCGATTTGGCGTCTGAAAACAGAAAAAGCATCTTGCTTATTGATTCTGTTACCAGACGAGAGACTAAAACTTCAAAATGTTTATGAAAAAGAAGAAATGCGTTTTGTGAATTTAGACTTCTCGTCGAACATTGTTTATGAGCACACTGATCCATGATAATACCATGAACACGCCAGCAAATTCTTTTTGGGCTTCTGCTTTGCTCGTAAATTACTCCAGGCTTCTTTACTTTAATTGCAAAAATTGAAATATTCTCAAAAATTGCTGTAGCAATTCCCCATTCCGCCCTATAGCTTAACAAAGGCGAATCCCGAAGGAAAATACTGTTGATTTTTTGTAGGAAAAACAACGCATGTTTAAATGATAGATCCTCGAATGCAGTTATAAAATATAAAACCTTTTTTCCTCAGAATCTTAGGCTTTCCATCTCTCAAACGGTGTCAGTTTCTTCCTCTTTTTTGGAATCATAAAATGAATTCTTTCTTTTTTAAAAGAAGTTCATAGAATTTTAACACTTTTATTATATTATTTTGACAGCTTAAGTCAATGATCTAAGCCAT